TATTGACCGGCCTTGCACGGCCTACCATGAGCTCGCCTGCCTGATCGTCTCTTCAACAGGCGTCACAACGGCATTGTTGTAATTCCCCTTAAAATCGAACAAGAACCCGAACGCCATAATCCGGATTCCTTGCATCTTGGTGGTGAACTTCTTGAACCGCTGGGCAAGAGGCACGATCTCACCAGATTCCGGATCGATGATATCGATGTTAGAGGCAAGGTAGTTGCCCTTGAAGTTCGGTACAGTCGTGCGGAACTCAGCCTCCGACGTGTTCTGCTTGTAGAGCTCATGGTTTCCCGAGCAAAGCAGGTCAATATGCTGCTTTTTCAGAAACTCCGAGGCATACACTCCCTTGGGGTCTGAGCTGTCGTAGAGTCCATTCCCTTCGACCCGATCCCCAGTATCGACTACCAGCAGGTCCGTCCCGGCTGCTTCGGCCTTTTCACGCATGCGAGTCGTGAAGGAGATATAATCTCCCCAGTCGGCAGAGAACGACGGCCTGCGGCAGCAACAAGATTCAGCACTCCGTACATGGGCGTAGGTAATCATATCAGAAGAAAGGAGAGCATTATCTCACTCCTGTAGATGGCCCGAATACCAGCCGTGGACGTCGGTGGTGTGGAGGAAGTTAAGCTGGCCCCATGTCAGCTCCCTCAGCGGCGCAGGAATGGGATCTGGGGCCTGGGGCTGCGAGCCGAGGGCGACTCCAGCCAGCCCTATCAGGACGAGAGCAGCGCTGTCAAGCATGGGCAGGACAGGATGTAAGACGGTCTCCTTGCGGTGGTTGTTCGATGCGTCTTCCTCGTGTTTACTCGGGAGTTGCCAACCACCCGACCAACTAACTAGTGAGAACGAACTATTTAGTTATGCAAGCTTCCGGCCTATGACGTCGGCTTACTAACAAGGTACCAAGTTGACTTGCTGAACGGATATAGATCTCAGGGGTCATTTTGATTTTGCATTGTATTCTTCAATAGCAGTCTACAATAATCAAATATTCACTATATATAGGTAGAGCAAGCGGGTTATGACATGCTTGGATGAATTCTCCCAAAGACGCACCTAAGCTGGTTGCGCTCTTCTGCTTTTTTTGCTGGTGTATATGAATGGCCTCCGGTGTATGTGCTCCATCAGTCCCGACATCCCCCTAATATAATAAATAAAATAAAATAAAACGAAAGGACTCCAAGGGGAGCTGTTGAAGTGTCTAGTGGGAACTTCAAGCAAGCCCCAGTCAGTTTGTCTCATCCTGTTGGTAGAGATGTTGCTGCAGATGCATATAAATTGACCGTACTCTACCCGGAGGCTGCTCAGGCTGACATCTCTGCCTTTGTCAGTCAATTCCTTGCACGCTAGGAAGCCCAGATCCGGGTTTGATACAACAGGTCAAAGATCTCGCTAACCATCACTCACGTTCAATGCGTCAACTCTTTCACAGCTCTCGAAACTTCCTCCAACGTAGTTGTAAAACCAACCGGAATAGACCAGAAAGTCGGACCTTTGTTCCCACTTGAGTCTCCAAAGTTGAAAATGAGCGTCTTCACTGGCTTTCCTTCAAAGGAAAATTCCTGCTTCTCCAGCTTCCGCAAATACTAGAGCGGACGATACACCGGGGACGAAGTTTGTCACTATCTAAGCTTTGCAATACGAACTTCTGTAGGTCTTCAATTGCCTGCTTTCCCCTCTTACTGAAGGGGCGGCTGAAGGGGCGTCATCTGTAAATAGAAGAGCTTCGTTTAAATGCAGAATGTTGTCCTCGGACAACATCGTCTCGTTATCGTGCAGGAGAGATCCCAAAGTGAATGTTGTCCATTGGGCAACCTCTACGCAGTAACAAACCCGGAACCTGATCGCGTGCTGGACCTCGATTGCAGCTTTGAAGCAGGTTCAGCTTGCCAGCGCTGCGAGGGGTTGAGCCGCCCTTGTGAAGCTGTAGGTTGATCGTTCCTCTCTAGCCTTCCTGCTCTGCTAACGTCTTCGCGTCTTACAGGTTGCCCCTGATCTCACCTCCTTTGCTACTGCAGTTGTGAAGGCTCATGGTTGGGAAAACAGTTGACCGCAGGCTGTGCCGTCCGCTTGATTACACAGGAGTCACCAGAAATCTGCGCGTCCGCCTCTAACTCGCGAGGCTGGAAGGATGGTGGATAATGCATGCTGAGAGGCGTTGCTCGTGGTAGGAACAGGCAAGGTCGATGGGGCTGGCGCGGGCGCTGGGGTAGTAGAAGCAGCCTGGCCTGCTGCATTCTTGCGTGCCCAACCACTGCGTTTGTTCTTGAAGACCTGCTGTGCAGTCTTGAGCTTCTCATATGCGGCGTCAACAACGTCCTGTAGATCTTCATCACTGCAGGTCATCAGGTAGTCCTGACGGAACACTGTTCAGAAAACGCACCACCACTTTACACAAGGATACAGGTCTCTCCGTCACTTTCTTCGCCAAAGTGGAAGTATCCTATGGCTAGAATATGTGGTAAAACAACCTCATCTAGTATCCAACCTTGAACCCTGTCCCATAGAGCGTAGATGGGGTCAGAGAATGGGACAGGGGAGGAATGTGTTTCTGGGTTATTAACTCGATGTCTAATATCCCTAATATCCCAAGAGTGAAAAATGCAAAGGCGACGGGCACCATGGAGATCGTTCGGACGACCGAGGGGGGGGGGGTCAAGATTATATCTCCAACGATCCTGAACAATTTGGCATGTTCGAGCCATCCCACCCACTCTAGGAGCCGCAAAACATGCGACAACAATAAGTACCATAATGTGGGAATAAAGACGACCCAATTAGTGGGAGGGCCGGGGAAATCGCCATTCGGACATGCATGAAACGATGGACCAATTCCGTCTCCTCAGTCTATCAAATTCCATTAAAATCCCAAACATTTCAGTCAGATGGTTCAGAACATTGACTCACGGGATCACATATCCGGCCCATTCTACGGTCATGCAAGTAGAAAGCCATTGGTCTGGGTCTCATTCTTGTTCGCCTTAGCGGCTTTCTGCTTCTCCCTCCGTTTGTTCTTGCGCTCTTTGCGAGCAATTTCAGCTTCTTTTTCCTCTGCCCAGTCGACACCGGGCTCCAGGCCGCTGATATGAGCTACCTGTCATTAGGTCTTCATCAGTCCGCTAGTATAATTGTGGCTTTCTCTGCTATGGCAATACCCTGCAGACAAGCGGTATCTTCCACGCTCTTCTCAGGGGCTTTCTGATCTCTGTTATCTTTGATACCGGTCTGTTCTCTATCCCCCGTATTTCTAGGTTGCAACCCGTCCAGCCTTCACCTTCTCGAGGTTAACAAAGGTGAATGCTTGAATGCTTTCTTTAGAAGGGACTTTTAGGGACTTCCACTTCCCTTACTTCTGGAGACTGGAGAGGCTCCCGCTGTTTTCCCCACCAAAGTATGTGGATCATCTACAGCTAGGTGAATGCTTCCGCTTGGGTATGTCGAATAACATTTAATCGTGTATTCCTGGCTAGTAGTGATATTACTTAGAGTAGTAATATCGCGAGTATCCGGGGGGTTTATGGCGTATAGGTGACATTATAATTCGTGTTAGTCTATAATTATCAAAAGGAGTAGGAAAGGTCAATTTAGTTTAGGGTCAGACCAAGGTCTCTACTCCTATGCTCATGACGGAAGGCCTCTGTACCCCCAGGGGGAAGCAAAGCTCAGAATGGTCGAAGATGTCATGTCGATGTGTAGGATATCAGGGGTATATATAGAAGAAAGTACAAAGCAAAAGTGAATAAATAATGCCGGTCTTTCGTATAGTGAACATCAAAGCCAACATACTATCCAGCAAGCAGATTACCAGCAGCAAGTGAATAAAGGTACAGGTGAATAACTTTTTGTTTGACTTTTTGTGCCATGGTTCCGATAAAGCCGATACGTAGGTATCCACCAGCTCTGTCATTATTATGCTTTTGATATCGCAAACAAGGTATATCATTTCAACGTCCATATTCAGCCTGTAGTTGAACTAGTCATACATATATTGAAGAATGATAGGTCTACTCACCGCTGTAGACAAAGACTCCCTTGCCGCTCCTGTAGCCTCCCAGCGTCCCCTGTACGCTGTCAACGAGCTCGTCCTTTGACGTATCCCTTGTCCATTTCACCTCCTGAACGGGAATGTCTTTAAACCTGCCGTCCCGAGTTAGACGGAAGATATCACGAATAGTCTCTTCCTTCAAGACTGGGTTCTGGTCGCTCCACCTCGACACCCAGAAGCCGTGGAAGGAGATGTTGTTGAATATCATCAGCCCGGCAGTCAGTGAGGTTGGCATCTTCGCCATGGCACCATAGGTGACATGTCGAGAATTGGGAGCAAGTGCTTTGGCCATGGCAGAGGCATTCTTGCCGCCAACACAGTTAAGGGCCAGACGAATGGGCTCTCTGCCTCCTCGTGTCTGTTGGTGGACAATCTCTTTGAACTTTGCCGGAGATAGGAGGTCTGCTTCTGTTATGACGGCTGTGGCACCCAGTGAGAGCAGCTCGTTCTTAAGTTTCTCCGTCTCCTCCGCTGTCTCGCGCTCTCTAATGATGTTCAGAGTCTTGATATTCCACTGTTTCGCGATCTGGATAGCCGCCCGCCCTACACCTGAGTTTGCACCGTTCTGAATCAACCACTCCTCCCCACCACGCAGCCAGTCCCATTCACAAAAATCCTTGATCATCCGGTATGCAGTTACAGGATTTACGCTCACGGTTCCGGCCTGGATGGGGGTTAGACCTTCACGGTCCTGCTCATTGATCTTTATCAACTGCGACTCTTCCCACTGAGCATGTGTCCGCCATGTGCCCATACCAGAATGTTTCATGACGACCCAGTCGCCCTTGCGAAGAGACTTCACGCCGGAGCCGGTGGATATGACTTCGAAAGCTGCCTCGTTGCCAGCCACGGCATGAGGCTCGATTGTGCCTAACGAAGTAGTGAAAGTGGGCTTTGTCGGATAGACGCCTTGTATCTGATTAAAGTCCGCTGGATTGAGCGGGGCGGCCAGTAGTCGGAGGGTGCATTGAGTGTCACTGGGGGGAGATATGGAGTATGCGTGTAGACTAGTTAGACCAGGCAAGTCAGTACAACACTCGTTCCAAACAATCCCGGATGACGCCCGGGGAGGTAAAGACAGACTTGAGAACATCTTTGGGCTCGCCGTATTTTGGAAAGACAATGGCTTTGGCCTGGGTGTATCCATAGGCAGAGATGTACCGCCGGCTATCGAGGGAGACTCTGGCTGGGAGAAGTGTCCGTCGACATGACTGTGCAAAAAGGGCGGAAGCTCGAGGAGCTACCATGCTGGAGGGAATCTATTCAGTCGATTCACTGCCTTGCTCGCTGCTAAAAGCTGCTGAAGAGCCAAGCTATGCAGAGTAAACACTTGGTAGCTTTTGAGCCTGGAAGTCACAAAAAGTGTTATTTGTTGATGTTTTCTATTGCGGCGATGACGTCGGGTCTTGGCATGGCTGCTTCTTAAGCCGAGGCAGTCGAAAGAACACCGGACGGGGCTTCTACAGTCTATCTCGACGATAATCCTACATGTTTCTATGATACAGCTAGCATTGAATAGCAGCTCACAGCCAATAACTAACCAGAACAACAGGAAGGTATAAAGGGTATCCGCTGCTGGAAGAAAGCCTTCATGGCAATCAACATCTTCGTTATCTGTTGTCATCAATGAACGGCCACATACGCCATGCTTCGTCCAGAGTCTTCTCAGTCGACATTCGCATGACGAACATTTCAAACAGTTCTTGGTTCTGCCGGCGTTTCTCCTCTATATCCAACTCTGGGAGATATCCAGCCTTCTTCGTCCGTATCCAGACACTTTCTCGCGATCTCATTCGCCTTAAACCAGTCCTCATAGTCTGTGAACCGAGCGTCACGCTCGGCAATCTCGTCCTCACCGAAAGAATAAGGACATTCTCCGACGAAGCCTAGCTCCGACCAGTTCTGGAATATCTCAATCATACATGCGCGAAGAGGGAGGATACCAACTTCCGACGTCTCTCCACAGCCTTGGAACAGTTCTCGAAAGACACGCGGGAGGTTCATGGCAGTATGAGCTTCTTTGTTTTCGAGATAGGTCGAAACCTCATACGTTTTCGCAACTATGGCTTGCCAATATTAAAATTTCGCTAGCTGTTGGTCCTCTTCATCCATCTCTTTCAGGTTGTCTGGTAATTTTGGCGCTTGAAACCCCCTAACAAAGTTTTCAGGCAGCTCTAGGAAAATGGGCCAACGTGCCTGTAGGAAAAGAGGGAGGACGGATATTGATTGCCAGTCAATGATGGAGAGAATCTGAGACGGGTTGTCGGGAGAGACGTGGATGTTCCCCATGTGAAGGTCCGTATGCCAGATCACAGGCTTCCCCAATTGTGCTAGGACAGGATGAGAAGTTGAGCTCAACATTCTCATAAGACTGATAACTTCGTCAAGCAGTTTTTCCTTCTCCTCACAACTTCCTTGATAGAACGTCCCTGGGTGGGGCGGCAAACCATGCAACGCACGAGCGATTTCGCGTCTCGCAATCGCAATGCCAAACGTTGCCAGTGTATCCCCTGTTTTTATGTGGTCAGCGGCGTATCAGAGATATAATTGATGAGTGCTTACATAGACCTAAATTGACACTTGGCCCTTCAATATCCTCTTGCACGTACGGTCTATCACCTGAACGGCCCACGCAATATGACTGTGATGGGTCAGCCTCTATATCTAATGGATATATGGGGGGGGGGGCTTGGCCTGATTATAACCGCGGTTATTACGGTGGTTATGCCAAGGCCTTATGTATTTGATTAGATAAGCTAGTTATATTTTATTACTAATTATCAAAGTCTATCTACTTGTACCCCTCTTCCCTACTATATCAAACATATATATATATACTATTTCTATCTAACCTATAATCTATAGACTTAAGTAGCTTATTACTTCTTTATACTCTATATATTATATCGAGATAGACTATTTTATAAATAATACTAGTACTCTAAACTACTAGTTTAAGATTAATATTATTTTATTTTAAAGCTAGAAGTATATACTTTAATATATCTAGAAATACTAACTAAAGAATATATAAACTATATATAATAGTTAATAAAAGGAGTAGAGAGTATATATATTCCTTTTTTACTCTCTTACTCTTTAGTTTATACTACTATATAGTATACTAGACTAATAGTAAAAACCTATTAGAACTAGTATTAAAAAATTAGCTTTATAGATAGAGAGATTATAAATAAAAAGAAGTTAAATATATTTCTTTATAAGGAGGTTTTAGAGAGAGATATTTAATTATCTAGGTATAAGAAGGACAGAGTTAATATTAATAGAATAGTTATAAAGTAGACTCTTTCCTATATCTCTATTAACTTATATATTTCTACTCTAGTAGACCTTTAGAATATATAGTATAGCTAGAGGATAAATACCTATAAATATCTTAGGGGAAATATAATCAAAAACCTTATATAGTCCCGACAAATATAAGAAGCTAATTATTACAGACTATCTGCGGTATAGCCTAGATAAGTATATTTATTAGATAAGATTATAGAATAAAATAACTCTAGGAACTCTCTAGATCACGTAATAACTAAAAGAGATTCTAAATACTAAGAATATAGATAAATTTATAGTAGAACCTTAGAGAAAAAATCTATAATAGGACCTCGGGGAATAGATCTAACTTAGAACTTTAGAATATAAATCTATAAAGGGACTTAAGTAAAATAATAAAATAAGGGACCTTACTATAATATATATATAAAGGTACTTATTACTTACTTTAATTAGAGTTATCTTTTAATATTTATAATTAATATAATCTTTATAGAAAGTTATAGCTTTATAGTACTAATTAATATAAGTATACTTTCTTTTATCTATCTAATATTTTAAGCTAATTTAATACTAGATTTAACTAATATATTAGCTTTAATTATAGATAAGGACCTTAACCTTCACGAGATAAGCTAGATTTAGAGCTATAACTTTAAAGTTAGATACTAGAATATTTTTCTATAAATTAAATAGCTTATTAATACTTTACTATACTTTAATCTATCTATAAAGTATCTTAGTACCCTTTTATTAAGATACCTCCCCTTATATATATATAATAGAAGGTCCACCTTTATAGTATTGATCGTTAGTATCTTTGCATCATCCTTATAGTATTGATCGTTCCGCACCTATAATTACAGGCACTCGAGCAGAGATTCCGACTCACTGTTCACCCTTATCTACCTTAACGTCTACCTACAACTAGTAGTAAAGATTTACACCCACACACTTATCTGCCACAATATCACAACCCCGATTAGCAGAAATAGTTTTATTTAAAAGGAACATTTAGGTACATATCCCCTACCCTAAATATTTGAAGAACTAACTAGGAAAATAATACCCTTTAGATATTATTATTATTATTATTATTCTTCATTATACTCCTATGCAGTCAAAGACTATGAGAAGTTCTATATTTAATGAATACAGAAGAGGATAAAAAATTAAAATTTAGCCTCCTAAAGCTCTAGAGTTTGGGAAAGGTGCAATTTGGTAATAGCCTAATATAGGCAAATTACTAATCTAATTTAAGTTAATTAAGCTCTTTTATAGAGACTTAACTAGAATAGTTATATATATATATATATATATATTTTTTTTTTTTTTTTTTTTTTAGTTCGTGGCACTAGGGTACTATAATACTAGTGCTACTAGTTCCATTCAGGGTACTACTATTATTTGAAGGCCTTAACGGGGTCTAGCGATAGTAAGGTATATACTAATTAACTCAAAATCGTCTATAGAATATACCTAGTAGTTCCCTAGAGTTGTTTGGAGCACTTCTAAAAAAGTTATATAATAGTACCGGTGCCACTAGTTCTATTTAGAGTACCACTATTATTTAAAGGCCTTAATAGGGTCTAGCGACGACAAGATATATACTAATTAACTCAAAATTATCTATAGAATATACCTAGCGGTTCCTCGGAGTTATTTAGAGCACTTCTAAAAAAGTTATATAATAGCACCTGATCTATAGTACTAGGGTACCGTAGCACTAGTGCTACTAGTTCTATTTAGAGTACCACTATTATTTAAAGGCTTTAACGGGGTTTAGTAACGGCGAGGTATATACTAATTAACTTAAAAATATCTATAGAATATATCTAGCGGTTCCCCGGAGTTGTTTATAGTACTTCTAAAAAAGTTATATAATAGTATCTAATCTGTGGTACTAGGGTACCGTGGTACTAGTACTACTGGTTCTATTTAGGGGGGGTAAAATATATATATATATATATATATATATATATATATATTTTTTTTTTTTTTTTTTTTTTTTTTTTTTTTTTTTTAGCTAGTTAGTAGCCAGGCTCTAGTAGCTATTTTTATAGTTTATAGGAAATTAATAAGCTACTTTTTTCCTTTTTCTATTTAAAAAATAGCTTTTAGATTCTAGTTTTGGTTATTCAAGTTATATTTTTTTTTTAGCTAGGTTCTAGTTTTTTTAGTACTAGAGCAGTCTAGAAGGAGGTGTTGTGGTATTTCCCTAGAATTAGGATATCTAGAATAGTAGGCTAAGTTATATTCTAGGAGTCTTCTAAGATAGGATCTAAAGTATCCGTGTTCTATCTTTAGTTGAATTTTTATTAATTAGAGCTTTTTAGGCTAGTTCTCTTTAGAAGTACCCTATTTAGGAAGATTTTTAAACTATTAGTAGTCTCTTCCTAGTTAAGAGCCCTTAATTTCTATTAGATTTTGGTTCTACTCTTCTAGGGCTCTTTCTTTTATTCTTCTTTTTAGGTTTGCTAAAGAAGTATAATTAAGAATAGAGGTATAAGTAAGATTTGCTCCTAGGTTTACCGCATTATTTACTTTCTTATTTCCTAGAATATCTAGATAGGCTAGAACCCAAGCTATTTTAATAGAAAAGCCTTTTTAATATAATTTCTCTGCAACTTTTCTAATAGAGAAGATATATCTTTTACCTCCTATTAAAGCTAATTTCCGGAGTCTCTGAATAGCTACTTTGCTATCTATAAATATCTAAATTTCTTTCTCTAGGGGCATATAATTAAAGAGGGACTCCTAGGAGCTATTAGGATTATCTTTAATAGTTTTTAAGGCTTTTAAGAAAGCTCTATCTATAGCAAAGAGTTTAGTATCGAAGACTTCTAGCTCACTTCCTAGATTCTAGGCTTAGTATTGTAAGGTTTTTAATTCGAAAATTCCAGCTCCTATAGTCCCTTTCTCTAATTTAGATCTATCAGAGTAGTAGATAAGGTTTTCTTAATTTAGCCGAATTTTCTTTAGAAGTTCGAGATGTTCTAATTTTACTATAGGTTTTGGGGATTAAGAGACCCTAAATTCTATTAAACTATCTAGATTAGCTATCCACGGGCTAATCTAGTATCTACTAGGAGCTTCGATTTTTGAGTTTTTTAGAAAAGATACTATTAGGGAGGTGATTCTAAAAAGTTGAGACACTTCCTTTTTAGCTTTCTTTCCTTCTAAATACTCTAGATCTGACCACTTATAAAATTTATTCTAGTCTAGATCTATCCCTAGGTCTCTTTCTGGAGGGAAGCTTTTAGAGACTGTAGCTATAATAGGGTGATCAGATTGTAGGGATATAATCCTTAAGGCATATAACCTATAGATTTTATCTAATCTGACCCTTATAGGGGGGATAGAGGCCTCTATTTCTATAGAGAAGGTAGGAGAAGTTTAAAAGGCTCCTAGAATTTTCCTCAGAGTCTTATTCTGAAGTGTTCTATATTTATTTAGGAAATTCTTTTAATTTTTCTACTATATAGGGACGCTATAGTCTACTATAGAGGCTATATACGCGATATATAGCTGCCTAATTACTTAAAAAGATAGGCCTCTCTCTATATTTAAGAGTCGAACTATTTGGTTTAGAATCTTTTTAGCTAATTAAAGCTTTATCTCTATATAATTTTTAAAGGTAAGATTATTATTAAAGTAGATACCTAACTATCTTACTACCTTTTTTAGTTTAATAGGTAGGCTCTGATCTTCTAATTGGATAGATATTTTATCCTATTCTTTATTTATCTTTCTAGAGAAGTAGATAAGCTCGGTCTTATCTATATCTATCTAAATTAGAAGATCCTCTTACCTTTAGAGAATAACTTTTAAGGCTTATTCTAGCTTTTTAATATTCTCCTCTTTTATTCTAGAGGAGGCTATTAAAGCTATATTATCGGCATAACTAGGAAGTCTAATATCTTTTAGGTCTTGGTAATCTTAAAATAGCTCTTTAATATAGATTATAAAGAGAATAGGGGAAATAGAGGAGCCTTGTGGGATTCCTATCTCTATCTCTCTAAGCTCTTAGATTTAGTTATCAAAGGCTAATTAAACTAATCTCTTAGATATAAAGGAGGCTATCTAGCTAACTAGTAATTTTAGGAGGCCTAGTCTCTAACATATATTTATTAATTAATTTAGAGAAATATAATTAAACGCTCTCTTAATATCTATAAATAGTACTAAGGTAATTAGATCTTATTTTTTTACTAGCTGAATATTATAAATTAGACTTATTATAGCGTCTATAGTAGAGAACTATTTTCTCTCTTCTAGTTGATCGAAATATAGTAATTTCTAACTCTTAAAAGTAAGGTATTCTAGTCTAGTAGCTAGAACTTTCTCTAAAACTTTACCTAGGT